AGCCAGACATTACAATATCGGGCATACTGAGTTCCGCCTTTCTAGAGAAAATGCAGGCTCGAGTTTTGGTTGCGTTGAATTCAACTAGGTTGATTGTTCCCCAGACTGTGATTTCAGCAAGATCTTCATTAACAGCATTGACCTGCCTGCGCCGTAATTAAAAAGAAAATGAATTGAAATAATCTCAGATTGGAATGATCAGTAACATAGCCTCAAAAATAACAGAGGAAGCGAGAAATACAAGGCATCAGGAAATTCTCGGTTATAATTGCTAAGTTACCGATAATTTTGCAAGTATTTCAAAATTTTGGCGAAAGTGCAAAATTCCGAAGGAGTTGGGCTCTTTTACAAGATATGAAGATAACCGAATGCAATTTGTATGAGACATGAGATAACACGCTTGTATGCAAACTAATCTGGTCATTTTTATAGACGAATGAAATTCATTGGAATATTTTACGAATAAAGAAATTCTCGCAGGGATGTTATTTTTGAGAAATATCATAATACTGACGAGGACTATAAATGAAATGTGCTCTAAGACATTTAGATTCTATGGACGGCTCACCAAAACACGACATATTTTCACTTCTTGAAGTCTATCTGACATTCATTTGTATTGTGTACTGTAACGACAATATTTCCACAAAATTCTCAAACACACGACATGTTTCTGAACATAACAGTTCATTGTACCAGAATCTCACCTGATGAAGTAACTGTGTTAGCAAAACATGTCGTGTGTTCGAGAATTTTGTGGAAATGTTATCGTTTGTAGAGTTTTTACATTTGCTCTGAATTTTCAATAATTGCATTACTCGTATGCATTTCATATTATACGGAAAATATTCGCTGAAATTCTTGAGATTGAAACTCCCCTCGTTTCATTGTCTTATTATTGGGAATCATGGAAAAAAACAACGAAAAAAAAATATGAATTGATATTTCACAGGCCAATGAATGCCACACGATATTGTAATGTCTGGCTCCACCATCCCCACCAAGCCCACCATATCTATGCTCGGTATTTCCATCAGCAACACTCTTTCATGGGATAATCATGTCAGATCCATCGCAAAAGCTGCTTCACAAAAACTCGGATTCTTGTTCCGTGCGAAAAGCTACTTTACACCTCAACAGCTTCTCATGATCTACAAAGCGCAGATACGGCCTGTTCTAGAATACTGTTCACAAATATGGGGTTCAGCACCAAAACATACGCTGATGCTCTTAGATTCCATCCAGAGAAGAGCCATTCGCCTGGTGGGTGACGCCACACTCACTCACCCTTTGACATCATTGGAACACCGTAGAAAGGTCGGCGACCTTTCACTTTTCTATCGATACTTCCACGGGAAATGTTCTTCGGAAATCTCTGCTATCATCCCTTCACTAGCAATACCAATCAGACGAACTAGACAAGCCCAGTCAGCACATCCTTTCGTTGTCAACCTCGAAAGATGTCGAACAGCACTTTATCAAGACTCCTTCATCCATAGAACGGCTAGGCTCTGGAATTCATTGCCTGTGGAAGTATTCCCAACAACATATAATCTCCAAAAGTTCAAAAAAATTCCAATACCTACCTCCTGTCCCTTTCCTCCCAAGGAACGCACGATGTTCTTTGAACATTATAGGGATTCCCTTTCGTGCGCTCCAAGCGATAAAAAAAACACTAAACTTGCATTGATTTCGGAGTGATGCCATTTCATCCAAGAACTTTTTTATTATCTTGCTCATAATGTAGGTATCATGTACCTAGTTGAATGTTATTTCTCGAAAGAATTTTCCATTTTCATTAATTAATCAATACTGTTTCGTTATTATGATTTCACACATTGCCATCTTCAATAACAGATACAAATTGAAGTGAGAATCGAACTCTAGGAATCACTTTGTATTATTGAGTGAATGAGTCTCAAGTGGTATAGATTTTCTATGGGGCACATGACCCTGAAATTCTTCTGAAGAGTTTGAAAAAGAAAACACACTATTCTTGTCATATTTCACAACAACAAAATTATTGAAACAGTGTAATGAATCGATAAAAATAATGATCCCAGGATTCTCCAGACAGCTATCAGTTAATTTATTGATATCATGAATTTGAGCTGAAATTTCATGTGTTGATTTCACTTCCATTGCGAGACATACTATACATATTTTATTCATTATTTCTTCATAGATTTTCCGTTTCAGTATGAAAAAAAAACAACATATTTCCGTAAAACAATAGTGTTATTTTGATTTAATGGTATTCAGATGACAATTGAAAAGTTTATGTCAACATCCTCCACTGTTAAGATTTTTTAACGACTGGCGGCCGTTCACTGTCCATCATAACAACACGATGCTGGGATATTTTTTTTGAATTACGTGGTATGTGGTTTGTTCTTTCCTCGGAATCAAAATGTAATATTTTAGCGGGATTACGAAAAGTCTTCAACGACAAACAGCTGATTTTTTTTAATGTTGTGGTTCCCACGAGAAGGGATATCCTAAAATATTCAGAGAACATCGTGAGAATCAAGAGAAATATGGTAGGAATTGGTGTTCTTGAATTTCTGGAGGTCAATGCCTCAGAGAACACCTCCCTTGGCAATGTGTTCCATAGCCTCGCTGTTCGTTGAATGAACGAGTCTTTGGAAAGAGATGTTCTGCAGGTCTCCAAATTGACCACGAAGGGGTGCGAAGCCTCAACTCGACGGGCTAATCTCGCGGGGACTGCCAAGGGAGGAACAATAAGGAATACGCATGATTTTTTGTTTAATCGAAATTATATTCCTTCTTCCTTATAATAACATTGGATATCATTTATTAATCTCAAATTTGCTTGTGACTCTAAAAAAATTCATTTAAATGAGGCTAAATATGAAGTCACAGGAAAACGGGTTAGTGGCCATCACTAATAGTATGACGTCATAGTATTAGGCCGCACAGCCATAGACTAGCGCGACAGAATGACAAGATTCAGATTGAAAAAAAAAAGAAGAAGAAGAGGTAGGAGAAGAAAACAGTTTTAAACGCCAGAAATTTGAAATTTGAAAATGGAAAATGATAATGTTTATCCCAAATACTCTTTAGTTCCGCAATACCTTTCATCAACAAAAGTATCACCAGGAAAAATATTCCTTTCATTACCAGTGGGATCGAGTGATAGAAATGAAGAGTAAAGAAAATTATGGTTGCAAGCCATAAATAGAAATGATTCATCCGAGAAAACCAGAGGATTTGTTTGTGAAGACCATTTCGAAGTGAGTATACGTTCAAGTATGTCCTATTGAAACCCATTATATATCAATGATTATGTTCCTCATGTTATTAGGAGAATAATATAATATGTGATTTCGTTTTCAGCTTGAAGAAGATATGGAAAACTATATGAGATATGAATTGATAGGTGGTAATATATATTTGAAACAACATGCAAAAAGAAGTCCTGTTTGATCATTCTTATTGTAGATATTTGCTTATTATTCAGTTATTATTATTCATAATATTGAGATCATATAATTGAGATAGATTATAGAAACTACAAGCTCAGATAATCATAACCTCACTTTCTCTTCTTATATTATTTTCAATCTTTCGGACATGAATGTTTGACATGACAAATAAAAACAGCCACATCCAGTTCGAAATCATCGCTGCAGTTCGGCTGTTGGTCGGAAAGTTGCAAATATTATGATTTTCAATCAGAAATTATTAAATGTTCGGTGCTTAATAATGTTTTTCGAATGTATAATTCGACATCTATACATATGAGTAATGGAACAAAAATATATTTTAGTGTAAAATTTTCACACGCGTATACCCTATTGCTGATACGCAAATAACGGATCTGGTTGTTAATAATCCTCGGCTGAACTTGATCTGTTATTTGCTACATATCGGCCTTGTAACGTTAATAAGAAAAACATGAATATTTTGTCTTGGTCTATTTGATGACTGATTAATTGAATGGATGATTTCGTTAGGCATATCAGTTTCTGTCAGTGAACATTCGAAACAGTCCTTCCAAAACCGACACTGATATAGAAACACAACATAACTCGACAAATGAATGCGTATATACCTACCCCATCTTCAACCCTTCTTGTTTCAACACCCTAATAAACACGAGAGCGAAATTGCATGCATATTGCCGTAAATATTTGAAGACATTAATTAAAATTTACATAGAGAATCCACAAATCCCGACGTAAAATTTGCATTGTCCGGTTTCCAATTTCCGGTATCAAGTCGGGTCCGTCGTGTTTCGGGTATCGCACACGACGAGAGAGAAATATAGGTTATGTCAGACCCGAACATTCCGCACCAGGCGTGTGCACTTCTCATTTCCGTCCACTGTCCACTGATACTTTACTATTGTTCCCGTTACATCGATGCGATATCGAACAGAGTGAAACCAGAGTGACACATATCGGGAATCAAACAGCATTCAACAAGCTGACAGCGTACTCAATCGAGGTATTTTGTATGTGGATCCGTATATCAATTCACAATGATATGGTTGATGATATGACATTCCAAAGAGGAGATACCAGAACGACAAGTTGTCAATCACAAGTTAGTGATGCCTCTCTTGGACTAGGCGCGAAGGAAAAAAATTCTCACTACTGTGTTGAAACAAAATCTTGCCCAACAATTATCGGCCTGTTATCAGTCATCTCCAAAGTGATGGAGAAAGCCATTAACATTGAGCCCATCATCAGGTATCTGGAAAGCTCAGCTCAATATGGCTTTCTCCACCGAAAATCAACTGGAGATTAATCAATTGTCATCAAAATTGGCGCATAATTATTTAGAGGGAGAATTATTTCACGTATTCTTCTACAGTTTGTTACAATAGCTTCACAGAAAATTGTATTGAATTGTATTGTATTGTAGTATTGCTTGTGTCTGGGACTTGGACCACACATCGTCGACAATCTCTGCGACAATCTCGGCAACACAAGAAAATCACACAAAAAATAGGGGACGGGGGAAAAACTTCTTACCTCGGAGTTTCTGAAGTTAATATTTGTCCGAATAGTTCTGTCGTGCAGGGGTTGCACGGGACGCGCGTTATTTCCCAGGGGAGCTTTCGGCGCCTCCTCAGATCCTTGCATTAATTTTCGCAATGAGTATAACTGGAACAGAAATATGGTTCAGAAAAGCTGAAAACGGGCCAGCAGAACTTCTATAACTGGAATGGATGGCCGTCGTATTATCGAAGAGGAATGGGGTTCTTCTTCCAGAATACAAACTTATAGGTCGCGAATCTCAAAATGGAGCACATACCGAGTGACCCGGCACCAATTTCCCCCCTGCTATTACGAATGGATGTTCAAAATGTGGTACATCGATTTGATTGCATGAGTTTATGATTTTGCTAGTATCAGACGAAATATGAAACTTATGATGTGACCGAAAGTGCATCTATTTTTATATTTCAAACACAAAGTTTAATTTTTTTTCGGCTCACTTCCCGGACGCCATTTCTTAGAGAAAATACCTAGCATTTTTCCGCTCTAGTCCGGGAATTATGTACTACACAGAAATAAAATATTTGGTACCATTAACAGAACGAATTTAACAGAACATTTTTCCAATGTAACAAAATTTCTATATCATTAACATAAAAGTTTGTATAGAAAAATAAAGAATTGAACATAATTTTTGTTAATGTTAGAATTAACATAGACTACAGAAGATAATCTATTAAACTTCTTTTAGTGTGTGTATCCGTTTAGGAATAATTTTTATATCATTTACGATATGTTCTCTGATTTTAATAGATACAGTTCATATAAAAATACAGAGAATACTGTTGATATCGTTGTTTATTCTGTGCCATTTATTTCGTGAGGTTTCTATACTTATAACAGATTTCTTTCTCAAAAGAATGAAATATTTCATTAGAATTGCCAAAAAATTGATATTTCTCAGATTTACAAATAATTCTATGATATTAAAAGAACTTTGAACGCAATGATTATGCTGAAAAGATATTCTGTGTATATAACAAATCGTTTTGTTTCATTTACAGACACGTTTGGGACATGATGTCATTTCCATCCAATCATGGCAAACCTGTTATTTTTAGATCGATTGCTCCTGGCACTCCTCAAGTCCCCATTCACATTTCGCATTTTGTGTTGTGAAGACATCAGCAATTATAACAAGTAGTGTAAATTGTTTCGATTTTCTATCGTTCTGGTGAGTATCTACTACCAATGATTATATAATGTTATATTCATTTGTCAGACAATCAGACAAAAGAGGTTAGCTATTTTATTCTGTTTCAGGTTACTCATGAAAGACGGGAAACGCCTGAAAGATATATTTTCTAAAAATTGAGCTGAATGTCCTCAGGAAAATTCCAAGGCGCCTTAAAGAATTAATGAAATATCCATACTAATGGCATCAATTCTTTGTAGAAAATCGGTTCGGAAAATTCCATCCGGTCGTGAAAATTCGACCCGATCGCCACGGAAACGGGACAACGAATTTTCCGATAGGAAAATTCGCCAGCCTTGTCTCCTAGCCAGACAGTATCACAGGACAGTAATTCATTGCGGCAATCGTAGTATAATTACTACCTCCCACGCGTATATTACGTTCACATGAGATTTTCTTCTCAAAAGATATCTCCTTTGAGCTGTTGAGGCTCTTCAACAAATTGAATGATCCAGCTAGGTATCACCCTATAATAGTGTATTTCCCTTCTAGCTAATATTTCATCGAAGACGGTCGGGAAATTCCATCCGGTCGTGGAAATTCGACAACGAATTTTCCGATATTAAAATTTGTCAGGCCTGTCCCCTAGCTTGACAGTATGAGGAGACAGTAATTGATTCCGGAAACCATAGCATATTAACTACCTCCCACGCGTATATTACGTTCACATGAGATTTCCATCTTGAAAGATGTCTCCTTTGAATGTTAAAATTCTTCAACATAAAAATGAGTAACCCAGCATATCAGCTCGGAATCACCCTATATTCGTGTTATCCTCTTCTAGCAAGTATTCCTCGAAGACGGTCGGGAAATTCCATCTGGTCGTGGAAATTCGACAACGAATTTTCTGCTAATAAAATTCGTCATGCCTGTCCCCTATAGCTAGACAGTATAAGGTAACAGTAATTGATTGCGGAGACCATAGCATATTCAGTAGCTCCCACGCATTCATTATGTTTACATGAGTCTTTAATCTTAAAAGATGTCTCCTTTAAGTTGTTGAAGTTCTCTAACAAAAAACGGACTCATCCTGCATATCAGCTCTGAATCACCCTATATTCGTGATATCCTCTTCAAGCAAATATTTCCTCGAAGACGTTCGGGAAATTCCCCCTGGTCGTGGAAATTCGACCCGATCGCCTCGGAAACATGACAACGAATTTTCCGATAATAAAATTTGTCAGGCCTGTCCCCTAGCTAGACACTATGAGGGGACAGTAATTGATTGCGGCAACCACAACTAATAGACGCCATTTTATTTGGGGCCCAACTCTCGCATTCATTTATCCTCTGCGGGTGGAACTCCCATTAAATCGTTAGAACTCCCCGGATTATTCCGATCTGTCGAACAAACAGTCCGGTTCGCTTCGATTTTGTCTATTATAGCGGGCGATGATGAAAACATTGAAAACTGGAGTTGTATCAGTTTCAAATTAATGGATTGCGTTTCTGATTTTATTCAACTATGACAAAAACAAAACAAGATATGCAATTCAGATACCTGATTCAATGTATGTATTGCTGTGCTCCAATTCTCGAAAACTCGTAGGTCTTCTGAAAATTTTGATTTTCAATTTGAATGCAGCAGCATCCTGAAGCTGCAATTTCTCTTATCAAGATCAATTGCTCAATGATTATTATAGTTTTTGCAAGTTGTGTTAGAAACAAGTGTTGAAGGAACAAACAACTTTAGGTGATCCCGCGGTTTTCTGCTGAGGATTATTTTTCCCGAATATCTTAGTCAAGATATTGACATTTTCATTCTTTCAATCCCTCATTTTGACATTGAGGATAGAGGCACTAGCCCCGTATGCCCTTTATGGTAAAGACGGCATTCCTCGGGTGTGGAGAAGAGTTTATATCAACATATTCCCTCAACCTCTTAGTTTTTGAGCTACAGGGTGTTGAAATTTTAAGAAAAAAGTGGGTATTTCATCATAATTTTTCATCACTCTTGAATGTTTTTATTATGACATTTTTTCACACCTCTTGATCATTTACGAGCATTTTCTGATGCGGAAGATTTTTCGAAATTTTCAACAGTGAAGTCGGTACGGGGTTTGAACTGACAATTTTTGAAGAAAAAAATGGTACGCCACTGATTTTTCTAAAAACCAACATTATTCTTGAAATCCCCGTTTATATTCGAGACTCACTTTCATACGACGTAGGTATACTGTTTTCGGGTAAAGAAATAAAAACAAGTAAATTTTTTTCTTCAGTTCATTGAGATTGTTTTTGGAATTTTGAGAAAAAGTAGGCACCCACTATGAGCGGAAACACAATTTGTTTTGGGACGAAAATTCACATTCCACTCAAAAACCGAGAGGATTAGGACATATGTTGGTTTAAACTAATCACCAGAGAATTCACACCTCGTATATTCGACACCCTGAATGGGGTGGTGTAGATTTTCAATTGTTATTTCATGGAAAATATGAGTTTCAAGGAACCATATATCTTTGAACCAAACGTCGAAACCATAAAAAGCAAATGGACGCCCTCTTCAATGATTCACTCAGTACACTTGACGAAAGAAACACAGTAGGTATCGAACATGATATGCCTGTTCGTTTGTGCTTGCTCTACCTGCTGAATTTGCTTTTTTTCTATGACTTTCTCTGTTTACATCATGCCATGAACAGAGAAATAGTAATTTTTCTAACAAGTACGGAAAGTGATTCTTCCTCGCACGCGACTGCCGTTGACACGAACGACGCGAAGCGGAGTTCTGGCAAGCAGTCGAGTGCGGGAAAGACACTGTCACTGTTATCAGTACACAATACACAAGCTAATGGCACTAATGGGATTAAGTGAGGATTGAGTTTGTTTTCCCCCAGTTTTGACGTGGCTTCGACATGGAACGATGAAAACCGAGACCCACCTGGTAACATTGATTCCCGCGAATTCGCGAAAATCACGGAGTGTGCGGCCTCTGGTGGCTAATTGTACAAGTCTTGCGAGTATGAACAACAAATATGGCGACCATTGTTTTGAATTTCATGAATATGTGTTTTATTTGAGAATAATTTATTTGTTGAAGTGCATATTCCAGAACCTCATTTCTTCCTGATGAATAAACTCGAATTATTGCATGAACTTTTATTGTTCACAATGAAGAAACCAGTACCAACCTTATAATAATATAATATACATTTTTTGAAGCACAATTAGAATCATTGTATAAATGTTGGTTGCAATGATTCGATCTTGAGAATAACTTCAAGTCCTCAATTCCTGGAGATCCTTGTTTATGTAAATCGATAATATTGTACATTCTGAGCAGCCTCTCCAACCATATCTTCTTTCCCAACCCCTTCACTAGAATTCCATCTCCTTCATAAAAGCCAGTGATATTTCTTGATGAATTCAATTATTTCTTCATACCTATACCATATTGTTGTAATAGCTGATTGCTTGTATGGTTCCATTCCAGTCCATGCAAGTGTTGAGTGGACCATTCCGATCATTCCATATGTTTGAAAACTGTGGGATTGTAGTGTGATATCAATGATGAATACCACCATTGTCCACATCAAAATGGCAATATCTCTGCACAAAAAGTAATTTTTTCCATACTGGAAACCTTGTACGTATTTCAAGAAGTCAACTTATTATTCACTATTTTGCAAAATGATTTGGAAATAACCAATTTGCAATGAGTGCATACGGCAATGTTTTTGTTGTTCATACTCAGTTGGAAATTTGACGTTGATTTGACATATAATAGAGTCATCTATTGGTTCGTGATTTTCGCGAATACAAACAAACAGGCCTGATATAACAAATTTAGAACAATGTTTTTTTCAGCATTGAACCCGATGCAAATACGAATCGTAGGATAATAATTTACACGTCGCCTACGTCGGCAGGACCCCGAAACAAATCAGCATCAGCGCATGGCCTACCTCGTGTTTGGTAATATAAATGGGCTTATTAAGGATGATCCAGACGGTCGTCTCCCAACATCCGGGGTGCGTGGTAGAGCCCTCGTAAGTCATGAAGTGCTCTGTGTCTGGCAGCAGACTCATCAGCGAGACGTGTTTTATGGGGGTGTAGGCTCCTGCAACACCAAAAGAAAACGCTTCAGTAACAGTCGCAGATACGTTTCTCTTCTATTCGAACGTCAAGGGAGTCTAAGAAACAGTAATATGGGTACATCTCACTTGGCCTAAATTCAGATTCACCCACATGTCCTTAGGTCCACATTTCGAGTCAGCCAAATCTTATCGATGTTTAAAATTGACTTACAGAAAGGACACGCACGTTTCATAGGAAAAAATTGGCCTTCTGTCGAATTGGCTGAATTTTTGATATGTTATAGTTCAAGACATTCTGAACAAAATGTCCAAATACCAAATCGTTCTAATGGCTAGTTTTGGCGCTCGAGGCCGCTGAAGTCTCAATCTTGATTTCTTTTCTCCTGATGAATGATGCTCTTTGAGCCATTATTATATTCCATTTTGATAGGATAAGTCACTACTAGAAGTATTCATCAATGTTGTTGCTACTGGTCAACAATTATACAATGTGTTCCAGTTATTATTGTTCAAGACAATAATGATAGGTATTCATTAATTTTATAGGGAATGATATCGAGAAATGAGAAATCGAGAAATGTCCTATTTCAATTGCAAGATACGTTCATTCGAATTCCAATTTCTTGGCGTCGTTTCATAGCTAAAGGGCTACAGTATACAGTGGAATATTTGAAAATTTCATAATGAACAAAAACAAAATGGCGGATTCTACCAAAGTATTGTCATTTACAAAAACCGCTAGAGAAATAGAAAATCAGATTTTTTTCAACCTGTACCGATGTCATCTTAGGCTATTCATTTCTGAAGAGAATGACTACTCGAACATCGAAATCGAACAAATAGTCTAGTAGATACACTCATTTCTTTGCAATTTGTTATGGAGTGAATGTGCTAATCTCGTATAAACGATTATTATTATTTTGCTTCAGGCTTCATGAAAATTCAATGGAATTTGGATTTCTGAGAGTTATTCTAAAGATAAAGAACTGTAGTTTACAATGGAACATTTGAAAATCCAATAATTGAAAGAAACAAAATGGTAGAGAATCCAGAATTTTAGTGATTTTCAAAAATCTCTGACGAATAAAAAAATGTGTGTTCTTCCAATCAGGTTCGATACAATTTAAGATCATTGATTTTCAAAAAGAATGAGCACTCGAACATCTGAATCGAACAATTAGTCCAGGAGAAACACGTTCTTTTTGGCAAAGTGTTATGGAGTGAATGTGCCAATCCCGTGATAAGAATTACTTTTTGTTTGCTTCTGGCTTCATCAGAATGGGGAAGACCACTGATTTTTTAAAACGACATTATCGTGAACTATATACTGAAAAACTACCAGTGAATTAATTTTGAATTTTTTTCATTCATGCTAAGACGATGAAAAAAATAAATTAGTATATGTCCATTTCAAAACACACAATTCGTGCGCCATTTGAAATTTCATCAATTCATTGGTGTGACTGGTGCGACGTCTTAGTCCCAACACGCCTATTGTCCTTGAACTGACCAATTACACTGCAACACTGCAGAATGACGAGGTATCACAGAGAGATAGCTACAGTTCGGGACTAATACGTCACGACTCCACCATCATATTTGGCTGTTTGAAATATGAAATGAAATATGCTGAATTCAAAACAATATAGATTCGATTCCCTTCAACTTCAACTCATAATATTGATTGTAAATACAATGTAAATCATGATTTGTCGATTGCAAGAGGTTTGCATGGATTTCTTCCCTCAGTGGTCTTCCCCATTCAATCGAGTTTCGATTTCTTAATGCCATTCCAAAGCTGAATACAGTGGAACATCTGAAAATTTCATAATTGAAAAAAAAAAACGAAATGGTGGAGTAACCCTAACTTTCGTGATTTACAGAAACCGCTAGCGAATAGAAAAATGTCGATATTGACATCGAGATGTAAGTCCAGGAAGATTGCGTGAAACCCTGAAAATTAATAAAACTTCATTCTAGTTGTAGTCAAAACAAAACGAATTTTGAAATGACCTGAATGTGTCTCCCTTTTGCTTCAACTACGGAATTGAGTCAGCTCTGTATCGACCGGGCTATTTCAAACTGAAGCATTGCATTTTTCACGCACATTCACACCATAACAAATTGCAAAGAAATGAGTGTATATACTGGACTATTCTTTCGATTTCGATGTTCGAGTACTCATTCTCTTCAGAAATGAATAGCCAAAGATGACATCGGTACAGGTTGGAAGAAATCTGATTTTCTTTTTCTCCAGTGGTTTTTGTAAATTACGATACTTTGGTGGAATCCGCCATCCGCCATTTTGTTTTTGCCCATTATGAAATTTTCAAATATCCCACTGTATACTATAGCCCTTCAGCTATGTAAGGATCTATCCAATCCTAGATTCTCACGAAATTTCACCGTAGACAAGATTTTAATGTAAATGGTGCGGGGTCCTTTCTTCATGAGTTTCATACGGAGGAATAAGCAGATTATTGTGTTTCACCTTGTATATTCAACACTGAACGACATTCCAATGATGAGTTAGAAATCATTGTTGAATGGATCACATGAATGTATAGACTTTGGTATAATACTGTATATAGGAACCCTGATTAGCACCGCTTTTCCTCTATCATCATATTATGATAGCACCGTTTTACGGTATATTTTCTCCATAATTATGGGCTTTGCCGTACAATGCTCTCTCATAAGTTCACAGGGTCTGACCATCAACCAGGGATTTGCACAACTTTGTGACTAGATTTCAATATTATTTCATGATGTTTTTTCTTTCATTTATATTCTATACGCTTGCATACGGAGGTGATCGTATGTTGTAACGCATTCGATGAGACTGCTATTTCAGAGCGTGATCATAATTTCAGATAGGTAATTTTTTTTGACCTAACGTACAGACTGTCTCATTTTCGTATCCTTACGGGATATCGAACTTATTTTTGAAGAAAGAGATTTGCGGTTTTTGCGAACGTTGGCTGTTTTCTTGTGAAACTCACGATACCCCAAACAACATTTTCATGGCCTGATTCGTTTTTGAGATACAGGTCGAAATTGAAAATGTTGCATTTTGAGAGCCCCCTGTATTTCAGCTATCTTTCAACTCATAGGAAAAGAAAAAACTGCCACTTATATAGTTTTTCACGTGGAATTCAGTGGCGTAGTCAGATTTTCAAAATAGGCTGTTATTATTTAGATATAACCCGAAGTTATGTTTTTTCAAGAAGAACACCCTGTATATTTTTCCATATTCGAATTATTGTTGCTCTGTGCTTCCCAAAAATATAAAACACTTATACGATATTCTGAGTATTAGCCTTGAATTTAGATAATTTAGAATTTTTTACTGTATTTCTTATTGATCCGCCTTGTAAATGTGTAGCAATATTTTCAATATCATGAATTTTCATATCAACCCTGTTGCTGACAAAGCATTAAATTGAATTTTCTATATAAAAATGTGTCATTGAAGTATATCATGAGTATACAGTGTGTCCCACTTACCATGCTCACCATGGATATCTTTTTAACGGTGAGAGATACGAGGTCGGTTAAATGACACCAAATGTGGAGTTTGTCAAGGCCAACTATAATGTGAAAAAATATTTTGATAAAATCTATTCGTTTTTGTTTTATACGCAAGAAACAGATTTTGATCATTTTCATGTCTCCTCCGTAACTTCTTTATTTATGAAAATATTCAAATAGAAATTTCACATTCTCATGGCAGTTTTTCAAAGTGATTTCGAAAAAAATATGAAATTTATACCAACTCTTCTAGAATTTGAGATATCAGCACCAACTTTAGTTTTTCAAATGTAGGTCATAGCTCACTATGACTTACTTACAAATAACTTTTTTTTCTCTTACAGATGATATGTCGCAGTAATAGTTTTGTGTTGATAACAACGGAGTTATCGTCATTTATACAAAAACAAAAAATTATTTGGAAGCCGTCATCTTGAATTTATAAATTTTAACAAAAAAATCATGATCTCCGACCTCAAAAACCCCTACTCACCAATTTTGAATAGAATAGGACCAAATCTTGTCCGCCATCTTGGAGCAGCCATTTTTTCAATTTCAACAAAAATTCCATAATGTATTGTCACTGAAATTATGAACACCTGCCAAATTTCAAGGTAATCGGAGTGATGGAATTTTTGTTGAAATTAAAAAAAATGGCTGCTCCAAGATGGCGGACAAGATTTGGTCCGATTTGGTTCAAAATTGGTAAGTGGAGGTTTTTGAGGCCGGAGATCATGATTTTTTCGTTGAAATTCATAAATTCAAGATGGCGGCTCCCAAATAATTTTTTGTTTTTGTATAAATGACGATAACTCCGTTGTTATAAACACAAAACTATTACTGCGACATTTAATCTGCGAGAAAAAAAGAAGGTATTTGTAATAAGTCATAGCTATGACGTACATTTGAAAAACTAAAGTTGGTGCTGATATCTCGAATTCTAGAAGAGTTGGTATAAATTTCATATTTTTCTCGAAATCACTTTGAAAAACTGCCAAGAGAATGTGAAATTTCTATTTGAATATTTTCATAAATAAAGAAGTTATGGAGGAGACATGAAAATGATCAAAATCTGTTTCTTGCGTATAAAACAAAAACGAATAGATTTTATCAAAATATTTTTTCACATTATAGTTGGCCTTGACAAACTCCACATTTGGTGTCATTTAACCGACCTCGTATCTCTCGCCGTTAAAAAGATACCCATGGTGCGCATGGTAAGTGGGACACACTGTATAGAGTTTCCAATGACAAAAAAGAAGGGCAAGTAGCTGTAATTGCGTCCAAGACAGGAGAAAAAAAGGGGAAAAATCGAACTTTTTCTCGAAATATGTCGATAAATAGTGGTTTGTCTACATTTTCATTAGTAAATTCGTATTTTTCAGACAAAAATACGTAGGCAACAAAACATTTTTTTTAAACCCCTTGCATGATGAGTGCAAAAGTACCAAAAGATTATTGTCTGAAGGTGGACACATGACAATCATGAAAT